ATATATATATATATATATATATATATATATAAATATAAAATCCGAATTTACAGTAAAGTTTTTAAATCAAATGTCTGTTTTAGGAAACAGCGCTTCTAGCAGAAATCGGTTTAGCCAAGAATCCATTAACGTTGCGTGGTCTATGGGATACACAAAAACGTTCAACTTGTGCTGCAAGTAGCGCAAATTCTAACATTGGAAAACTTATATTTCCTGCAACCACATGTTTAAACAGCACGCCATGTGCCTCTGTCAGTTTTTCTTCTGCACCTAATATATTCGTATGTATTATTTACATTATTGCAATTACTATTGCAACAATGATCTTATTTTTTAATATTTTCTATATTATATAGACGCAGCAGACAAAGATGTCGGATGCTGAACTTGAAAATTCTGTATTAGCTAATCTAAGGAGAGCAGAAGAGCGCAAACGGCTCATAGAGGAATTGAAAGCACAGGAAGGAACTTAATTCTGGTATTGCGAGAATTTATAGCCGTTCATGTATTTATTTTTTCTATGTGAGAAAGATATCTATAATAAAAAAATATCTATTCTTAATGTTTAATTTTACTCAACTCATCAGGTGTAAAACGCAATACTGTTGAAATGGCATTTAACATGTGCCGTTTACTCGATACATCATTTGTTGTTAAATAATTTATAAATACATTCTTCAGATATTCCAGATTAGCACCTTCTCTTGACTTGCACGCTTCCAACCTGTGATATATATCTTTTTATCAATTCTGTATGTAAAGTATTTATTTTATTAATTATTTTTCCCGACATTGTATTATTACCTAGTGATATGCGCCTTCAATCTTTTAATCTCTTCCTGTTGCTGTTCTTTCATATGGAACATTTCTCTCTGTTGCTCTCTCAATGTTGCCTCTAATTCCAAAATCTTCTTTCTTGATGATGATACTTGAACCTCTTTTCTAGCTAATTCTTGAGTGTAATGTAGTATCGGAGGACTATCGTTTGCCAGTAATCCCGTTACCAAATCGGTAACCGGCTCAATGGTGTTTTCATATCTTTTCAAATGTGTTTTATTTTCTGTCATAGCAGTTTCCTTATTAGGTAGTAATGCACGAAATGATGCTTTTAAGGTCATTATCTCTTTATCCTTTTCCTCTACGAGAGCCATAGATCTCTCTCTTTGTCGCAACAATTGCTGTTCTAATATTGATATTCTATTGCGATACTCGTTATCTTTTTGATGCAACGTCTGCTCTAGTTTCGAGCGTTCTTCTTGAAATAGCTAAGGATATAATTTGGTTTATTTTTTAACTAAGAAGACTAAAAATATGTTGAAACTTTCAATGAAAGCCACTATAAGATTTAAAAATTCATTACTTTTAGTATGGATTATTATGGAAATAATTACCTTTTGTTGATGCTCCAATTGTTCTTGCAAAATCTTCTCTTTATTTAACATTTCATTGTTAATCATACGTATTCTTTCCTCCAAGTTACTATTGTGAACTTTAAGGAGGTTTAATTGAGTTTTGTCATGATCTTTATCATGCATCAAAGACAAAGTGTGTCTTTGTTGTTGAGTACTACGGAGTACGTTAGACGACATATTATACTTGCACATTGTTTGATGCTTGTAATCTTCAAATTCTTGTAGAAGTGCGCCGTATTTCTCTTTGTAATCAGGATGCTCATCCCGCAAATCCAAACTGTTCAATAGTGCTAAACATAAAACGTAAATATATTTAAATTATTTGTTCAAATATTTTTAGTCTATTTCATATTTTATCAAACATATTTTATTTTGTTACTTTACATTTTACATAGGCTGAGTCTTTCTTTTTGTTGTCAAAATCTAGCAAGCGAGTATATAAAGATTTTATCTTAGAAATAATCTCCTCCGGATGATTATTCGATATCACAACTTCGCAGTGTTCGGTGTTCTGCAAAGCAGCCAATTGATCCTTTAATTTTTGAATAGCTAATTGATCCTGTTGTCTCAGTCTGTCATAGCCTCCAACGATTTCGGAGAGTTCAGCTAATCGAGCTTCTAAGCCAGCTACTCTCGTCTCATGTATGATTACCGATCCTCTTGCTTGCTGTTCCGCAGCGGCAGCTCTTTTTTGCTCCTACATCAAAACGTATTGCTTAACTTGTTATATCCAATAGTTTTCGCGTAATGTGTTTAACAATTCTCGGCAGATTTTACTTCACGAATTGCATTCAAATGTTGTTTCTTCATCACAGCCATCTCGGCTTGTAGGGAAAGAAGAAGAGGTGGTGTCTCTTTTGCTGCTTCTTCGGCCTGTTTGAGTTTTGTTTTGGTAATTTCTAACTCAGCTTCAAGAATCTTGCACTGCGTCTTATTCGCGAGATGAGTCTTCAATTGCCCTTCCAGCTGTTCCTTGCTGCGTTGCTCGTCATATAATAATTTCTGCAGTTCTCTGCAAGAATCATGGATATACTTTATACAAATTTATTATGAAAATATTGTTAATTTTCATATTCATATAGATACTTCGCGAATGGTATAATTTTATATAATTACAAAAAATTAAGTCACTACTTTATCTTTTTGACGAGATCGGAATGTTCTTTCTCTCTCTCATGCCGTTCCATGATTAATTTGCACTTTACATGTTCGATTTCGGAATGATTGATGTTTTGTGCCTTCTTCAATCTATCTTTCAGATCTTTAATTACTTTCTCACACTGCAAACATTAAGGCTCAATTAAACAATTCTGATAACAGAATATATATGTCAAATTTCTCATCTTACTTCGTCACGTTCGCTTCTTAATTGCTTCTTATCTATTTGAAAGTTTGCTTCCATTTTTGACTTTTCTGCTGATAGAGTGGCCAACTGATTCATTAACATATCCAACTGATTTTTTAGTTGCTCTATAGTTTCTGTATCCTCAGGATCTGTCTGACTGTCGCGTGTCTAAATGACAAGAATTATAAGAATATTGATAATGTAATACTGTTATGAGAAAAAAAATATTATACCTGTCGTATAACAGATGTATCATTTTTAGGAACAGATAATTCACCTACTTTTGGTTTATCTACACTGCTTGTGTCTTCTGTATTTTTTGCACCAGTTTGTACAATCTTCTTATCTAAAATTAATTAATTTTGTAAATAATACATTAAATAATTCTTTTAATAATATATTCATATATTGAAATAAGTTCACACCTTGATCTTGTCTTCTTGATTTGTTATTCTCATTTTGTGTAATGTTCGTTTTCTCTTCAGAAGTTGCCATTGTTGATTGTTAAATGTAGATTATTGAATGTTACAATTCACACTAGTCGGTATCTGAAACAAAATTGTAGAAAGAACTCAATTTGTTATGAGACATTTTAATTTATTTCAATCGTTTTAATTATACACAGAATTATAACAAAACAATATATTAAAAAATATAATTTACATACAACAGAACTTTCTGTTTATTCAAACATATGTCGAGGAACAAGATAATATCAATAACTGAATGGTTCTGATAATAGGAGGTGACGTTAGTTGAATATGTCAAAAGCTTCTATTATTTGAACTATAATTATAATATAACTATAATTATAATATTACAGTGAGATAAGATAATAAGAACTTAGCTATAAATTTGAATACTTGGAACTGAACACAAATTTGTTTACATAAATGGAGTTCAGATAATTGGAGTTAGTTCAGAGATAAACAGTTTTACTATATATATATATATATATATAAATGTTCTAATAAAAACTATAATAATACATATTATATTTACAAATAAATTGTTGATCTCTACAGTTTATGCATGTATGTTAATACCTAAATAAAGCGTGTTAATTTGTATAATATATATAGATATAATATTATATTATATAATATTATATATGTTAACACTAATATTATATTATATTACACATATAATATTAGTATTAAGAATTTAATTTAAATTTTGAAGCAAAACTTGATTGAAAATGACAATTAGGTTAAATAAACTCATATACATTATATATTATTCGATATCAGTTTATTGAAAAGTATATTATAAACATAAATAGATGCTTGAATTAATCAGATGTTTCCTCATTCTCTACATTAGAGTCAGAGGTCTTTTGGGATACTATTTCCAGTGTTACAGGCCCACTGTTCTGTATGCTAACTTCCATCTTTGCACCAAATTTACCATCTGTATAAATTTATCAAAAATAAAAAAAAATCTTTCAACAATTCGCTTTACTGTTATAAATCTGAGCAAAATGTGAAAAGACTGGAAATCATCATTTGTATTAATGCATTATATTACCTTTGATCAATTCTGGGACATACTGTTCACGAAGTTCAGTAATAAAGTTCATGTAAAAGATTTCAGATTCTTGGGCGGGCATCGCTCTATGAAAGCTTAATTTATTCCCTTTTAATACATAGTATAATGTAAATTGACTAATGCACAATATTTCATACTTCTTATCCTTTACACTGGCATTCCATTTTTTACCTTTGTCATCCTCAAAAATTTTGGCATTCAGTATCTTTCTTATACTACGACAGAGAAATTAACGATCAACTGTACACACGTATGTAACTATACTCATTAATATTTTTTCATTACATGTATTTCATATCTGCCACTCCATCGTCTCTCTTTATGCCAATTAACACGCACAATCCAGTTCCAATGCTACTAATAACTTCACCGTCAACTGAAAAATTATACTTAGACCTTAACTGTCGTCGTATGAGACCTTATTCAACTTATTTTTTATCAATCTGTGTCACACATAAATTGCAAGTATTGCCAATAACATTGATTACCCAATACATTATAAACTTTTTATCACGCGGGAAATACAAATTTATACAGATTCATCTAAAAATATATTGACACATAAGTCTAATTTGCAAATAATTTTACCTGAAACTGAAGCCTTTGACACTCGCTGTATTAGAGCCTTCATGTCGGAAACCGCTTTATCTCCACGTCTACGAGATATTTGGTCCCACGTTAAGTTATGCGCTGATGAATATCTTTTCCTCTTAAGAGTGCATCCCAATGCTTCTTCTTCTTCTTATAGTCCCCTGTATGGATTTCTAATCCTTTTATCTGGTCATAGTACCACTGCTTTAATCTTGCGATCCAGTTTTAACCTCCTCGAAGAACAGAAGTACCAGGTTGCCAGATGTATAATATGTAAAATCGCACAAAGAGCGCGCTCAAGTCGCCCACATTTTTTTTTTAAATGGCAGAATGAAGCCATGACCAATCACGAACGTTCCGCAGTTCCGCATCCCAATGGCTCCTGCACGATGTTCGTGACATGTCCAATGAGAATATATCTTTAGGAGCTCCGCACAATAAAAAGAAAAGAGAACAGAGAATAAGAATTTCAACCTATCAGAAACTGTGTGTTCCACAATACATTATTAAAATGGATTGGAAATTTTCAATCCATCCGAATACGTATTTTAAATCCATAAAAATGGATTGGATTCCAAAAATGGATCAAAAAATTTTTATACATGTAAAAGTTTTAATAAAGTAGTTATATGAAATTCAATAGTTATTATTTTAAAACTTTTATACAAAAAATATAGCTGTTTAATAAAGGAAACGTATTAATATAAAATATACAAATATAAAAGCGATTAATTTATTAATTAAAAATAAGGATTACTTTATATATGTAATATTTATTGTACATATTTATGTAGTTTTTTTATGTGTTTTTTTTAACTATTAAATAAAGTAGAAATCGTGATATATTTTTACGGTACAACTTTTTTTAACGCAGTTGAATTAAAATAAAAACCTAGCAAACGAGAATGGATTGAAATGAATTGAAATGGATTCAGATTTTCAGAAATATTGATTCACGAATGTTAAAATAAATGCTTTTCAATCCTGAATGCATTTTTATTCATTTATAGGAATTGCATGGAGCATATCTCTATGCCTTTCAATCTAAAAATAATATTAGCTTTTTCTGTGCACAACACACACATTGTGAATACTGTTCAATTCAAAATTTTGAATAGGAAATGCAGTTTTTCAATCCAATTGCATCCAATTGAATCTAATTGAATTCAATTGACTCCAATTAAATTCAAAAAAAAGTATTCGCTATTTTTAAAATACACATTCGAATAGAAAAAAATTTCAATCCATTTTAATCCATTCTTGTTTGCTGGAATATCAGCAGTAGTATAGATTAGTTAGCTAATGGCACAGAATATAATATTTTGAAGCCAAAATGCAAAGCCATCATTAAACTTTTTTACATCGATGGCTTTGCGTTTTGACTCTGGAGCTCATTTTGAACAGGCCTGACCTACACCATTTCTCACGAAGGAAAAGCAAAGGTAGCGGAGGCGCTATGTAAATGGGCGATCGCGCTCTAGTGATAGCTGGTGATAACTGTTGACGACGACCAATCGGAGGCGAGTGACGGTCGCGGGAGCCCATTACCATTTCCGTTTACGAGTCTCGCGTACTATGATATACCGCCTGTATGTATGTACATACAACCGATTCTCCACGGATTGTTTACAAGCGCGCGCGCTCCAGGGATTCTCGCGTATGTGCACGATATATACAGTGTCGTGTGTAAATAATCGCGTAGCAGCGTCTGCAGCAGCAGCAGCCAACAGCAATAGCCACGATCGCCATCCGTAGATTCCCGCGAGGAATGTGCGCATTGCGACGCATATCCTTCAGCAATCCCTGTCGTCGCGACGCGATAGCGGGGCCCGCTGCCGCGTAATATTGTGTGTACGCACGGTGACCCACTTGTTGCGTCTAGGTTATGGCGTTATAAACAAAAATATGCTCCACACAATAAACGCGTTCGTAAGTCCATCGTGAGCTCTCAGCCACGTGCGAGAGCTAGCTTAGGGTATGGAGACAGGCCCGGGTCTGAGCCTGTTTCAGGGCTCGGATAGCATTCAGCTAAACACGATGACGCAGAGACTTGAGGAGGACGAAGACCAGGAGGATAAAAGGCGACTCAACGAGGAGGTAACATTTTTCGGAGCTCGTTTTTTCGGACAGTTCAACTTTTCTCTTTCATTAGTGGAAATCGTTTGCCTGCATAGGATAGTTGGTTGTAGAGAGAGAAATTTTGCATTATACTTTGCACATAGAAAGTGGAAATTATTGAACAAGGTCCACTAGTGTAATATTTTGTCGCAGAGAAATTTTTTGAGATCTGTTATTCTCTACGCTAGGAGAACAATATAGGGTCCACTGTGTAGAGATAATCCCTATCGAGCAGTTTTATTACTGTGTATAACAGATAAGAAAAAGTAGATGAAAGTTTATTGTATAACTTTGTTGCAAAAAAATCAATATATCGATGATATATGTTGTCTTATATGATAGGAGAAATTATGTATAGAATTGCATGTCTTAGAAGAATTTTATATATTGTAATAAAAAGAAAGGAGCATGAAATTTTAACGTATGTCCTTTTTTGTCCTTTCAGATGCAGAATCGCCTGGATGAGGAATTTGATGATTTGGAAAATGATGATGATGCCAGTTCTATCAATAATAGTCATGATCAACATGATAACACCAGAGACACTGACCATATCGATATAGTGGTCAATTCTGATCTGGAATCAATTACGCCCAAAGGACAGGTAGCAGTGGCACATTTGCAGAAAGAATTTGATGTTTACGATCGAATGGAGAATTTGAACAATTATGATCATGTGGATAATCTGAATAGTTATGATCATGACGTGATAATAAATCGTAGATCCGACTCCGAGATTGGCAGTGGAACTATACAATCGGACTTCGATTTGTACAGGCAAACAGGAACGCCATATGGTAATAATAGATTCAATGATGGCAATAGCACCATTGAGACACCATACGAATTGGCAAAACCAGCTATTTCGACCGGCTATCCCCGCAAGATTTTTCCGCAATTGGCTGAGGAGGATACGTTCAGCGAGAATTATCCTTGCAATTATGAGACGCCATCTAATCATTACAATACTCTTATATCCCGGAAATACTCCAATAATGGTATTAATGACACGTATGAAAATAATGTACAAAGTAAGCAAATTCATGAATTTGGCGGAGGCGACAATGCTACCTCGGATCACATGAATCATTGCTATAAGACTAGTCCGAATGGCAGGCCAATAGACGACGCTGTAGCGTACAAAACGTCAGAATATAATAGTAAGGAACAACTGGAAATATTATATATGATCAGAATGCGGGAAATCAATCGCTTGACAGAAGACCTCCAAAAGTTGCAATTAAAAAAAGAGGACGAGAAGAACCAAATGAGCAGGGGACTGATGCTCTTACAGGCGGAAGTTGATAGAACCAATATATCGAGGAATCAAGCGCAAGAGGCATTGGGTAAGGAAAAAATCTTAAAGTTATTTAGGGCGTGGATTTATATCCTCCTTATACTTTTTTCACTCATATTTAACTCTTCAATTAATCTTTCTTTATTTTTTTTTTAGTTGATGCTAAGGCTGAAATAACTGATTTACAAATACAAATGAAATCTCTAAAAGAGAGAAATGCAGTTTTGGAAAAAACGAATCAAAATGTAAGATGCGTATTCGCACTTTATTTTTATTAGTATTGAATATATCAATATCAATAAAATTGTTTTTATAGATGACAGAAGACTTAAATATCGCGAGGGGTTCTGTCATGGATTTACAACAAAAAATTGCTGTATTGGAAAGAGCACAAGTGTTGCAAACGAATGATAAGATACATGAGAAGTTTTTGAAACAGGCACAAGAAAAACACGCAGTGGAAATGAAAAATATGCAGACCCAGATAGATGTTCTTATGGACAAATTAAACGCCAAGGTATTACCAAAATCTGTGCTTAAATTGTACATCGTATTTTATATATACATATATACTCTCTGTAATCAATATTTATCATAGTTGCTCAATAAGGAGACCGACAACAATAGTATTTGGGCAAGTTGTCTGTGATTATCTTTGCGATTGCATGATTGCAAAATTGTTTATATATATATATATATATATATATATTAATGTTTCTTTATAGCTTACACCTCAGCGTAATTTTTTACGCGCACAGATGCATGTTTGATACATTTACGCCCGTTTCCATTAATGTAGATAACTTTAATCTTGGTTCAAGTTACTCTAATCTTTTCTAGTTTTAAGAATTCAAAAAAGAAGTATATATTGAACCAAGATTAAAATTAATTTTATTGGAAATGGGCATTAGTGTATATCTTTATTTTAATCTTAATTATAATAAGCTGTGCTGTTTTTCTTTTTTTATGAAAATTACTTTGCACAATTTTGTAATATTCTTTACAAATTTAATTAATTTTATTTAATTTATATTGTTTAATCTTTAATAGGAAACGTCATGTGTTGCTCTTGAGCATAAATTAGATGATGCACGAAGAGCACACGAGGTTCTCATGGTAGAGAAGGGTGACACCATGAATCGATTGGCGCAAGCATTACAAGACAGTCTGCAGCTGCAAGCGCAAGTGAAAATGTTAACTCAGGAAAAAGAAGATCTGCATAAAAACGTACAAGACTTGCAGGTAATTTATTTTTTATAACTTTTTAAAAATAAAATATTAATTATAAGAAACTGATTTAGTGACTAGTTCCTTATTTATTAATTATTTGTAGAACAAATTGGATCTAATTAAAAACGACGTTGCTCAATATGATTCGTTATTGGCTACTACTCTGGAGGATGAATCTGACTCGATTAGACAAATGAAATTAGGTGAACTTTATAATAAATCAAAATCGAAACCCGTTGATGATATCACAAACAAATTAAAAGGTGAACTACGTATGTAAGTATCATTTAAATATATTCATCATTTAAACGTTTATTTTTTTATTAAATATTGTGTTAATCTTGCTGTTTATTTTTTATGCGATGTTGTTTTTGTTTAGATGCTTAGCTGTAAAAAGAAAAGAGATAAATCGCTTAGAGAATACTTTGTCACAG